TATCTGGCTTATTCCCTTTCTGTTCTTGGTGAAATAACTGAAGTTAAGGGAGTTGAGTCATGATTTGTCCAATACTCCACGGCTGCTTCAGTTGGACGTACCTTAAAGTGGTTCCTAGTACAGTAATAACTTTGGTAGTGTCCACCCAAATTTAGGTTCTGTATCTAAGATGTCTTTTTGTTTTTAACACCTTTGTAATTAAGATGACTTATAATCAGTGGCTCCTTACAGTAAATTGGCAGTATGTTTTCACTTACAGTGGAGATAAAAAGGGTCCATCTTATCATTGATGGGATATCAGATTTTTAAAAATACAGTATTTGTTTTTAACTGCCCTCTCCCCATTTAACTCAGCAAAATTGAAATACAGAAACAGAAATATGGAGAGTAAACCTGCTATTAAGTAATAACTAACTAATAATCACCCTAAAAAGTCACCAAATCATACAGTAATAAAATCAGCAGCCGATATTATTCAATACATATGGTTGTTCATTACTTATCCCATAACTAGTATCTACCACTGTTTTTCATATTTGAATAACATCTGGGTCTGATGATTACAGAGAACACAGGTGCTCTCTGGTGATGCAGTTGTCCCACCACTTTTGTCCAATTTAGCTATGTCACTCCTTCACACAAGCAGCATGTCATGATATCATTTGGTTGCATCTTATGATAAATAAAACATTTATGTGTTAAGTTCCTAGATTTTTCCTCATTTCCAAAGCAATAAAAACAGTAATACTTGACACTAATGTGATCACAAACATGAATGCAATGAAGGAAACTATATAGTGACAGGACATAGTTACAAATTATCATTATATTATGTACTTTTATCTTTAGTGATAAAAAGTAAAGTTTTGAATCCCCAAAACAGACTCTGTAACCACCAAGAATACATCACGACACATTTGTAAAACACTGCAATAACTGAAATATGCTTTTATCTTTCTTTTCCAGGATGACATACGAACAGGAACTTGGTTCACAGAAGCTAAGATAAGCTTAGTTGCTGGGACCCAGAAGTGGACCTGAGCTATGGATCATTCCCTGTAGAGAAGGGAAGTTATCCAGACCGACAGAGTAAAAGCATCCAGAGATTGTAATGACAGGAAGTAGAAGTCCAGGCATGCAGAGATAGCAATACATGGTTTCAAATAGCAGTAGGCAAACTCAGGGAAAATTTACTTTCCTCTGAAAGATCTGAATAGAGAGAATCAGGGCAGAGGTTCAAGACACAGTGGTCCAGCCACTGGTCTTGGAAAGGTAACAGGACCTTGGTTTTACACTTCACGCAACAACATTGTTTTGAAACCTTGTGTGAGTCAAGAGTGGGTCAGGAACCAAATTTAGTTGCTGAGCAGAAAACGTGTCCAGATTTGGGTTAAGCAAAGCAAGAGAAAGAACGGGGAGTGAGGTAACTAAGTACAAGCTCAGAACATAGGGAACCTTGATTTAAAATGCAATTGTAGAGAGGGACAAATTGAAGAAGGAACTGCACTCATGGAAAGGGAAAAATTGAAGTGTAGTGGTGGCAAAAAAAAAAAAAAAAAGAACTGTGATTTTTTTTAGCCTAATGTCACTTATTTAAAACTTTTATATTTAAGTTATGAGTTGCATTTTTTTCAGCTGAAAGTTGGCAGTTAAGCCCCAGTGATCTATAATTATCTCATAAAATTCTTTAAAATATATTTTCTAACAGATTGTATGCATTTATTTTTTATCTTTATTGTTGAAAGTATTATAGAAGTCTCCCCTTTTTAAACAATCTTTCAGAATGTTTAATGTAATAAAAAATAAAATAAAATATATTTTCTTATTAACATATATTGATTCTGCATGTTTACAACAGCAGTTAGATATTTTAACCTCATAAAAATTCTCCAATTCACTGAGAGGAAACATTTTTATTTTTAAAAATTAGGATAGTGTTGGTTCATAGAAATAATTCATGTCAAAGTGGCTCCTAAGAAAAGAAATAATTTAAAATAATGGGGAAAGAACCATGAATATTAAATAAATTATAACACAATAGAAAATTTAAGGGTGCTTACCTATGTACTTAGATCTTTGCACCGTGAAAAAAAACTGTAAGAAATAGGAACAGAAACATGGAAGGGCACAGTAATTTATCACTGTTCTCTGATTTTAATTTATTGCCACAGAAAGGTAGGCTTCCTTTCTGAGATGATGGGGAAGTTCTGATTTCCTTCTTGACTTTTCACTTCATTTTTAGCAAAATTCAAATGGAAGGTCTTTGATGTTCTCCTGGTTATCAAGGTGATGTGAGAAAGAGTTAACAAGGAACAGAGTTCACTCACTGGTAATGACATAATGAGTGTCACACAATGTGATTAATAGTTTTATTTGAATGACCGTTACAGATGTGGCTATTCAGTTGGGGTAAACAAAAGGAACCTGCACTCTCTTCTGAAATATGTTCAAGGTATAGTACAAAATCTTGTTGATTACATTTAGTATTAGGTAATTTTGAGATATATCACTTCATGTGTAGAGAAATAATAAGAAAAGATTTTATGCAAAAAATATACATTTATTTTTAACTGTTAGCATCCTTCATGTATTAGCAGCTAATCTATGCTGTGTTTGCTACCATTTATGTATAGATTTGGATGTGGCAGTCAAAAACCACTCCATTGTATCATCAAGCATGTAAGTGACAAAAGTAGACAATTATAACAGAAAAGTGACTCTTTTCAGAGATTATAATGATATTTTACTAAAGCTTATTTGTATGATCTCTCTCTATATATCTCATAAGATATATGATATATAAACTTTACCAGTAGAAACACAATATGACACTCCATATAGATGATACTCTGTTCCATGAAGCAATTTATGTCATTGTGGATACTGTTTCATGAACCAGAAAGTGAGCTGTATAATGTAGATAAAGATCTGAACATTTTGTCAGAGTATTTTTTAGAGAAAAATATTGCAAAAAAAAAAAAAAAAAATTCCTAGCTTACATTATTATGACTTGCACACACAAAGAAAACTGCATTATTGATCTTTTCACTTATGGGGTATCTTCCATTTCCTTAAGAGATTCCCTGGTTTGGTCCAATAATAGTGAAGATTTTATCTCCTGATTGATAACTGAAAGTTTCCACAACTTCAAAAGACATAATGGAAATCATACAGGTCATTAGTTGTTCCTAAAGTGATGTGTCCAGAGAATGCCTACATCCTCAAAGTATAATAAAAAATACCTTTATTGATAGGAGCCCCAAATACATTTAATTCCCACACAACATTTAGTGGAAATAAGAAATATTTTTTCTAATAGTGTTGTGTTCATATTGAATTCTAACAAATTATTGGGTGAACTGTTTCAGAGAATTGAAGTTTTGTGAATTCTTGCTCTTTCTCCCAAGACTTCCAGACTCCCCCAAGTGGATATGGGAGAAATTTAGCCAAGTACCTCTAAATAACTCTGACATTTCATAATGAGCTTTGATCAATCCACACCAACTTTTTGTTTTTTGTTTAAATTGAAGCATGGTGCAAGCAGAATTTTCATTAAATGAGTCTAGCACTCTCCTCTTATACCCCCATACATTTTAATTTACTCACCTAACTACTGCCAGTCTTATAAATAATTATGTCTTTCTTCTTTTCCTCTTTCAAAGAGTAAAATCAACTGGCAGATTCATTTAAGGACCATACTATGGTTTACAGAGTCACTGCTATATAAAATCTTATGTATGAGACACCATGCATGGAATATCTTGAAATCTTGACCTTCAAATAAACAAGATAAACACATCATATCAAAGTGTAGTTTGCTCTGAAACAGGAGCATCAGAGTGTCTGGAATCTGTTTTAACCAATTAAGCCATTTAAGGCAAAAGGAAAATAAGCCTTCAGTAAATTCATTGAAGGCACCATCTCCCAGCCTCCCACTGTCAGTTAATCGATCTTTTTTGAGTGCGGACTAATGAGTCCTATATATCTATAGGACTCACCCTACCGCCTAAGAGGATTTAAACTTACACAAAGAGAGAATTAGCTGAGTGAGAGGCAGGGTGGAGGGCACATCAGGCCAATGGCTGCCTTGGCCCCTTAAAAACCAGGCGGAGGATCTATCTTCAGGGAACGGAACGCAGCAGACCCCATTCCCTATTTTCTATTAGGCAGCCCATTAGTTCCTTTGCAGGAGATTTTCCATTCAGGTCGCTTCTAGGGCGAAAGCTTTTGTTCGCTACCACTCTGTAGTGGGGAAAGAACTCGAGAGAAATGCAAAGCAAGCTCATGGCAGCAGCTTCTTTGCGGCAAAGCATCCTTTCCTTTCAGCTTTGGCAATTTAGGAAGACCCAGGGTTCTCGGAAAAGGTGGGTGAGGGGAACGCCAGCTAGGTCGAAGAACACATAACCCAGGAGTCCCTGTTTTTACCTTCTATCCACTTCCACTCGCATCGTCACCCTTCCCCCCAAAACTACCAACACAAGCACTTATGATCTCTCCAAATGGGAAAAGGGGCGGTAGTGTGGGGTGGGTAGGGGGACATTTTCTTTCCGTAAGATTCTGAACAAGATCCAGCTTCCAAACTAAAAATACATTAAAACAAATAAAATCAAATAAAAACCCACTGGGTAGCAACTATCTTGAGAGAGAAGCAGCTTCTGGCATCTGCCTGGAGACGCTGCAGTTGGAAGCGGTTGGCTTTGGGTATTGAATTATTAATTTATTTATCCCCCTCGCCGCCTCCCCCAGCCCCGACTACCAGGCAAGAAATCTCCGTCTCTTCGTCTTCCCCTCCGCCCCCACCTTAGAGGAGTCTCCCCTTCTCCGTGGCGGGCCAGTCCACCTCCGGCCCGCGGTGGCCTCTCGTCCCTGGCCCTCTCCGGCGGCGGTGCTCGCGGGGGGGCGTCCCGCTCCCTGCGCGCTCAACTCGCGCCCCGACCCGCGCGGCCAGTTCCCGGCGGCGGCGGCGGGGAGGGCGGGGGAGGCAGCGGGTGACAGATGTACTCCTCTGACAGCTCTCAGTATCAGCCCAGTGGCTCCCTGCCATTGGCTCAGTGCAATGGACCGGCAACGCCGCTCACTATAATAACACTCATGCCTGCCAGCAGCAGCAACTCCGAGTGCGGGCACCGAGCGCGGGGGATGCTGCTGCCGCCGCCACCGCCGCAGCTGCGGCTCAGGCGGCTCCCGCTGTCCGGCTGCGCTCGGCCGCCGCGCCTCCACTGACTCCAGCCCGCGCCGCCCTCCGGCCGGGCCGGCTCCTCCCCGCCCGAGATCCTCCCGTGGGGCGCATCAGCCCGAGGCGAATTAGGAGAGCGGCAGAGACGGCGGCAGAGGCGGCGAGCATGCGGAGGCGGAGGAGCCCGGGCGCGCACGGCAGAGGGGTGTAGTGAGCCTGTCTCCGGAGGGCGTGCGACAGAGGTGGCGATTCGCCCTCCCGGCCGGTGCCCAGCCCGGCCTCCCCGGGCTCCAGCGCGCTGCGGCTGCGGGCGCGGGGTGCATGGAAGCGGCTGCTGCGGTGGAGGAGGCGGTGGCTGCCCCATGGAGTGTTACTACATTGTCATCAGCTCCACGCATCTCAGCAACGGACACTTTCGCAACATCAAGGGAGTTTTCCGGGGCCCTCTCAGCAAGAACGGGAACAAAACTCTGGTAATCGCTTCTGTTTCTCTCTCTCTCTCTCTCTCTCTCTCTCTCTCTCTCTCTCTCTCTCTCTGTCGTCTTTCTCTCCTGTCTAAGAGGGCATTTGGAGGATTGAGGTTACTGTGAGATTTTGAAGGTGTCGCGTTTCAATTTGGTCTGTAATGCATTTATTTATTTATCTTGTGGGCGGGGTGCAAATTAGGTGTAGAAAGGGCAGGAATCTTAGGGGAGCTGTGTTCCAGGGCTTTGGTTGACACTTAGCCAGCGCTCGGACTGCACCTCACTCCATAATGATGAAGATTACCACAATGTCTCCTTATTTAAAAGCAAATTGTGTCAGTAGGATATCTTTTTAAAAAAGAAAAGAAAAAAACAAACCCCAACCTCAAATAACTCTGTAATATTTTTCAGCTTAGGAAGCTTAAGATGAATGAGGATGTGGGTGTCTCTGATGGAGGCTGGGAGCCATGTGTCTGGTGGCATGGAGCAAGTGGCGGGACTGAGTAATGGTCTCAGGCGGAGTTTGTATTCCGGCGGTTTCCTGAAGGACTGGTGGCAAACTTCTCTAGTGAGAAGTTGTCAGTACTAAGCCTAACAGAGTGACTCCAGAACCCCATGCTGTCAACTTTAAGCTATTCACTCAAAGGAGGTTGGAGATAAGTGTAAGGGGCTAGCATTATGTTACAATCAGAGCCAGTAGGAAACATGCTACACAAACAGAACTCATCAGTCGCTGGGAGGTTCTCACTGGACCACTGAGCTTCATCTTTCAGCATCCTGGTAGGAAGAGCACTCCTGATTGGTGGTTGAAGATATGCTGAGCATTGAGATAGTGCAGGGTGATAGCTCTTACTTTTTCTTCCCAATCCCATCTTAGTTACAAAACGGCCCTGCAGAATGACTCTCATGTATTGGCATCTCCTGAGAAGTACACACTTGAATAAAGAAAAAAAAGAGAAGTACAGGGAAGGCTCATTTGGTTAAGTACAGCAAAGAGATACAGTAGAAATATGTAAATGTGTGTATCCCTAAAGTCTGGGACCATTAGCAAACAGCACTGCCCCTCCCCCCATTTGTTTTACAAAGTGGCTACCTAGCCTCAGTAGGGAAAGTAGTAGTTAATGAACAAATTCAGTTACTCCAAATGTAAATAGTCTTCTTACTCTACTTTTCTTTATATATCTTTAAAAAATGATGCTACATATTTTTTTTAAAAAAATATATGCTGTGATGAGTTTTCCAAGAATAAAAAGTTCTCCTCAGAAGTTTAAAGTGAATTCTGACATTGATGTGATGCATTTGATTTTTTTTCTTTTTTTTCATAAATTTATTGGACCACTCCTCTCAGCTCATTTAAGACTCAAAGAAGCAGGGTTACTTTGTTGCTTTTTATTATTGTTCTGGATAAGATTGTTGGTTGTTGTTGTTGAACAAAAGAAAGTGAAAATACTCTTCTGTGGTCTTAGGGCAATAGGCAAAGGCTAAGGGAATTACTAAGGTTATTCTAGCTTGATTTAGAGAACTCAACCATTTAGAAAGGTAAATATTTTGGGGGAGAAACCTTCATTTTAAAGAAAGTATGTTCTGGCTTCTTTTTAAAAATCAAGTTTCATATATGGGAAAAGGCAAACTTATTGAACAAAATCTCATTTTGTTGGTTATAAACCACACAACAAAGTTCATAAAAAAATGTACTTGCCAAACTTCAACTTGTTAAAATTATGGTAATCTTGATGTTTACATCAACCTTGGGCCTCTAACAGTGATTGAACTTGCTTATGCTGATTTGTTTGATATGAGTTTGAAATTGATTAGTCTTTTATCACACATATTAACAAAAAGAATAGGTTAAATCCTAGATTTTCCAGTGTAACTTTGAAACGTTTATGAGATGAATAAATCTAAATCTATACAAGCATCAGAAGCAACAAATAGATAAAAAGATTTAGAAATAGCTCCTATCATATTTCTCTTATTTATAGTGAAAGGACTTTTAGGGACTTCATAGCTAGTCCTTTCGGTTATGGTCATAAACTGTTCAAGTCTTTATTTCTTGTGTAAGAGATTTACACTGACAGAAATGATGTAGGTCTTCATGTATGGTCCAACTGCATTTGAAACCATACTTAACAAGGTTATATATATCACATGTTTATTTCCTTTACTCTTTGATGATTTTGTTATTTAAAAGAATGAGATATGATGCCTATTCTTTAATTGTAACAAAAGAGATTCTAAATATATTCATAAGTGCATTTTGTGTTTAAAGGACATTTATACTTTTTTGTAAACATTTATAGTTACTTAAAAATGTATTCTTGACAAAACTTAGGATGCTATGAGGACTTACCATAAGCTAAAACTTACGACAGGCTAAAACCAAAAAACTGACTCTGAAACTTCTCAGAATTAACAACCTTATAAAAAAACAAATGTTACCTTAAAATGTGTTTGTACTACATTTTGAACATTTTCAAGTAAGAATTTATGATTGTTGTGTTTTTAAACCCAGTTTCATAGAATAATATGTATGAGATCTTTTCCACTTTCTTGGCTGTTTGATGTGGATATATTTTGAATTTTCCCTTTAAAAAAATCATCATATTCTTGAATTTTTAAATGTGCATTAACTTAAAAGGATTTTAATATCCCCAGTGTTGTTGTTTTTTGTTTTGTTTTGTTTTTCAGGAAAAGTACAACTTACAACACAAAACCATTTAGAGAGAAGGTCTTTTGCTTTTTCCAAAGAATTTCCAATTCTTTTCAATCACTGGACAACAAATGGATATTATGAACATTTTTAAAAATTTATATTTAAATAAAATGATTTTACAATCTTCAAAGTCATTGAACTGATCTAAGGTAGCTTATAACTGTTAATACAATGATATTTCATGAATTAGAAGTTTACTTAGAGAATAAAAATACTTATAGAATAAAACACAGGTTTCAGTGACATTGATTAATTGTTTGTAGTCCCAAATCCAGAATGTAATCATACCATTCATATTGAGGATATCATCAAAACATACAGTCCTTTTCATAGGTTGTATTATGCCACTCACACATAAAATTTTTAAAAGTACTTACAGCTTAAGTCTGTTGTCAATCTTAACCCTGTTGCTGAGCTTTTAAATATATTTCTCTTGACAATTTTACCTGAAAATATACAAATTTTCATTATGCAATGCCTTACAAGCAAAGAGAAAGATCACTGTGCTTGTCATAAACTCTATTATATATAGCATCATATCTGGGATATAGCTTTAATTCCATGGAATAATAAATAAGCTAATATTTAATTAGTGTTCCAGAATATTCTGAATAAGTTATATGGTTTAATGACAATGAATTAAGTTTACCTTTAATGTATACTCATTCTTTTTCCTTAGATTTTTCCCATACCACAATTTGGTATGCAATTGTTTATTGGATAAAAACATTTTGTTATATTTAAGTTTTGCAATTGATCTGCAAAATTTCTTTGCCCTAATTATATATTTTAAAACATTTACATATATATGATATGCTTATTATAAAAATTTAAATATAATTTAACTATTTTAATACACAATTTGGGGTTTGCCTTTGGAACTTTGAAAATCATTACTAACTTCTTCATAGCATTCTGTTACTTAATCAGCATTTTCATGTCTCATAAGAGTATTATGTGCATTTTACTGACTATGGAATTGAGAAAGAATGAGTGGTGGGTTAGAGGTCATACAGTGAGTCAGTATTATAATGCAGATTTTCTAACTCTAGACATATTTTCTTTATAATTTATATACTAAATTATAGAATCCATTGAAATTACTATGATAATATTTATACTGATAAAGAGATGGTATCGGTGTCATTCATTGTTTGAAAACACTCTACTTATTTATTTGCCTCCAGGAATTTATAAATAATACCAGATTCACAGAATAATTTTAATTCAAATTTATTTTATTTCTCATCTTCCAATATGAAAACATCAATAATTTCTGTCTTGCCTAAGCCCTGTTTCTATAAGCTGCCCTCCATTTCCAATATAAAGTACCAAGTTTAGCAAGAAAACTAATTAATTTATTAATGGGTTATCAATATATGTGAGTTCATTCAGATTATTGAGATGCCTCAATTGCAAACCACTATTCTAAGCACCACAGGCTCTGTGCAAAGTATTATACATTAAGTAGTATGTGTTAAGTTGTATTCAGGAATGTTCATGTTCATTTTTAATGTATCGAAAAACTATTCACATATCTTGACATGTTTACAGGTTTCTTGTCACTCAGAACATTTTCAAATGTATTCATTTAGAAAAATATAAAAAAATTCTGGGGCTTACCTTTGGGTATACAGGAACTCATGAAAATTAAGTAGGTCTTTAAAACATACTATATGGCCCTTAGTTCTAATTATTATTATTAACTAATATAACATTATTATTCATGTCATTCTCTTACACATTTCTATATCTCTTAGGGAATGTAATTTGAAAGGTTTCTCTACTCATTGAAACTCATTTATGTGGCACATTTAAGATTGCACATAAGACTAAAGATACCAATTGCTGAATTAATGCTGTTGAAAAAATTGTCATTTTTAGATTAATATCCTCAAGTAAGGTCAGGGGTAAGGGTGGATTAGGGTGATATCTAAATATATCTTCAAACTTTCCTACTTTAAACTTGTTTACGTAATCAGTCAGTATATGTTCTTCCAAGTTTCTTTCAAACTATTATGCATTTAGCATTAGACACGATCTCGTGGCTTACTTTTCCGAACGTCCAGTGGCACATATTCTTTCCTGTACTTGTTTTTTATTCCAGTAAAACTTTTCAACTTGTGTTTTTTCAGAATGCATTATTCAAGTAAGGGAAATAACTTACAATTAAATTATTTATGTTATGACTTACGAAAAAATATAAGCAGTATTTTAAAGCGAATGTTGTCAAGTGATACCCATGATGGCAACACACCTTGTTAGTTCATCAAACATTGAGTTAGTTTTATAGTTA